GAAGAAGAAGAAGAAGAAGAAGAAGAAGAAGAAGGAGAAGAAGAAGGAGAAGAAGAAGAAGAAGAAGAAGAAAAAAAGAAGAAGAATCATTACATTGTTTATTAAGGTTATCTCTGTTTCTTAAACGCCAGGGTGATCTCCTGCCCCTCCCCACCCACCCCGAAAAAATCTCTCCTCCCGAAAAGGAGTTTTGTTATTTGCCTGGGTGTATGAATGTGAGAACCTGGTATCGTCCTACAAAGTTCAGTTTTTAAATCGCACTGTTTCCGCCCCGGAGCGTTTTCGTCCCACGTAGGTTCCTTCAGATCTTGACTTCCTTGATATGCTCCAAAGGAGACACACCGTCCGTTCGTTTGGAAGCAAGTGTGGTGTAAAACGTACACTGTATCTCAGTTATACACATGTGATAGAAGGGGAAGCTTGGATTCTGCAATAAACAAAGGAATGAATGAATAAATAAATAGATCAATAGAAAACAGATAAATAGATTATAAATAAGTAAATACATGAATAGATAAATATTTAAATAAAGAAATGAATAAAGAAATGAATAATTGAAAGAACAAATTTGAAAACTAAAGTAAAATAGAAAGACCTTCCCATTACCAACAAATTACGATCTATTGCAATATTGATGATTTTTCGAGGAGGCACAAAACAAGGCATTAGAGACACGCGCTCTCTACCTTGTGACGTGTAACTAATAAGAATGAAAAAAGGGGAAGAGCGAAAGAGAGTGGAAGAGATGCAGAGAGAGAGAGAGAGAGAGAGAGAGAGAGAGAGAGAGAGAGAGAGAGAGAGAGAGAGAGAGAGAGAGAGAGAGAGAGAAACAAAGACATATTATACATAAAGAATAAAAAAACCATTTTTTAAAGCAATAAAAACCAACAACATGACACCTAACAACCACCCACACACAGCACACTAAAACAGAGGCTATACCGTATTGTGTTCTAAACCTAAACTATAACAATGCAGTATAATTTATCGTATTATCAACACATCCAAACAAGGTCTTCCCAACTCATCGATTGCCAGGGGACGGTTATTGTGGTGATTTCTCTCATAAGCACAGGGAGAGGTGGCAAAGAGAGACAAGGGCTCACCTCTCTCTTTCATTCATCTCTCACTCACTCACATATATTAATGGGACAGCTGTTGGGGTACTTTCATCTCGACGGAAATAAGTGAAGACAGCGGTATGTATATGTATTATATA